AAAGATGGAAATTGCTTTCCCATCTAATAGGTAGGAAAACAAATTCAAGAAAATGTGCATAAAATGATTGTACCTACAAAAGGTAGGAAAAACAAAAGCCAAGAAAACTTTTGCAATCAAACACCATTAATTGGGTGAAGTTGAAAAACATTTTCTTTTTCCACCTAATTTTTTAGGCTATCAAACACACCCTAAAATTTTATTCTCTCATAAACTCATTTTCAACTGTACATTCTCCAAATAAAATAATTTTACTCATAAAACTAAAAAAAAAATCTTACTTTTTAATCAAACGATCTCCAAAAAATCATCATTACAAAACTCATTTTCACAAAGCATTGGACTGAAACATAGCTTATAGTCTTTTCGTATATTTAACTTACAAAATACTGCTATTAGTTTACACGAAAGGTACCTATTTCATGTCATTTTGTAAGGTAAATATATGAAAAGACAATCATGCTTTAGAATAGATGGTGTGAAAATTGATTTTTTTTTTTTTAAATGTGCGGTTAAAAAATATGAAAAAGTTACGAATATATATGCAAAATTATTTAATGGAAATATTGTGTGGTTGAAAATAAATTTTTAAAATTAAATTTTAAACAATCACTATCGAACTAAATAATGTTAATAAAGAAAATAATTAGTTGGTAGAAATTTACCAAAAAATAAGTGTAATATGGAAAAGAAAAAAAGTAGCACGCCAAGTGGACCCAAATGTGGGTGGATTATTGAATCACAAAAATGTACCATAATTAATGCATCTGGTAACAAGTTGCAGAGGGGACCAACTTAGCACCCCCATTTGATCCGCGTTCTTACAAAAATTCATTTTTTTAAAATTTATTTTTAATCACATATTTTTCAATAAAATAATATTATACGTAAATTCAAACTTTTTCTTTTTTTAAACCACATATTGTCCATCAAATCACCATTTAAAATGTATTCTACATTCAATAATGTGCATCAAATATTGTCGGTAAATGATTCACAATCTTTGATTCGTTGTTCCATTTTGTACCACAATTATGGCATGTTTGACGAGATGTTAGGCTATTAGAAAAACAATTAAGCTAACTTTTGCATCATATTTCTACATTATGGTTGGCATTTGATAATGTCATTAATTATTTTAAATGTTGTTAAAATTAATGATAAAACTGTGTGTCATATCATGGAATGTCAACTACGACGTCGACCAATATATAATTGAAGCAAAATTGCTAGAAAAAAAAATCAAAATGTGTATCTTACTATGGGTTGATCAATACTACTAACTAAATGAATTATTGGGAGTTCATTTAGCCCATGTTTGGCCTTCGTTTTCAAAAACTTGTTTTTTTTTTCTCAAATTTATTTTCAACGTTACATTTAATGTGATTCACAATTTTCATCAATTTTACGAACATATATTTCACCAACTTTTATCAAATTTTACTAAAAATATTATTTTTTGCTAAACCAAACAGATCTTAAATTATATGAAATGGTGTACCATTGGTGCATTGAATTATGTGGAACTGAATATGATTGAGAAAGATAGTTTTGCCAAATATGCATTCTGGAATATGGATTTTGCTAGTTATACACAAAAAAATATACATATGGATTACGTAATATGATGTAGTGGAAAAAAATGATTTTGTTTTAAACTGACAAATGATAGAGTACCATGAGACATCATGTAATCCATTATGTAAATTTTAATCCATTATGCACGGCCTATCCACATAGCCCTAATGAGAGAAAATAGCTGTTATGCAATACACGTAATGCATCCAAAGTCATCAGCTAAAAAGAAGAGGATTTTGTATAGTGATGCTAATTCACTCCCCACCTTGGCTATATATTATTCGGCTACGCGAAAGAAATTATTTTTAATCAATTTGACGTTTAACTACAAAGGTAGCTTAGATGATACAAAAAGTCTATAAGAATCTCAATTTGTCAGTATTTGAGCTTTTATTATTTGTTTACGTTAGTCTATGCATATGAACTTAGGGTTCGTTTGACATGATTTTTGCTTCTGTTTGCATGTGATGTTAGAGATTTATGACAATTTTTCTCTTCTACAAAGCAAATTAGCGGAGAAAAATTTACTAAAAATTCAATTTGTCATCCTTTCAAATATATACTCTCTCTATGTGTATATGTGTGTGTGTATTGCACGTGCTAGAGCATAGAGGATTGTGAAAAAGGTTTTTCTTTAAAAGGATTGATGACAAAAGTTCCATGAAAGACTCAATTATTCACTCCTTGGACGTTTGTTCTCCCATAAGATTTATACATGTTTGTTTGCATGCACATCACGGCTAGAGGTATGTCACAAAAGTCACTCTTTAGTATAGTGATGACAAATGCACTCAATTCAATGAAAGTCCACATGTTGCAATGTATAATAGTATTGACAATTGTGTCTTTAACCATGTCCCTTCACTCACTTTTCCACCTTTTAGTACACATGGATTATTATCATTATTATTTTTTTTTGTCGCCATTATCATCGATATCATTGTTTTTATCGTACACATGCTGTAATATACATAGAATAGAAAGTCGATCAATTTTCTTTTTCAAAACAATTTATGTTTGTTTAGATTGAATCTGATCGAATTAACAAATCAGTTCAAATCGAATTGACACATAAGTTCACAAGAATTTCAATGTGTTATTTTTTGAATTTTTGTTTTCTGTCTAATTTTGATTGCAATTGTTTTCGTGCACGCACATCGCACGTGCTTGAGGTTTGTGAATTTTTTTTATATCTTCGATGAATTTATAAATATAATTAAATTTTGACGGTACAAAATTTCACAATAATTTGAATTTATTGACTTTTGAATATATGTTTATCATCTAGGGAGGTGCTAGACGTACTCCACCAATTACTACATGGATTACTTCCTGCTGACGTGGCTATTCTTTGAATATTCAACACAGCAAATTTAAAAAAAAAAAAAAACCAATTAAAAAGGGTCCATTTTCTTAGAACCCGTCATTTCCATTCGCCTCCTCCACTCTGAAAAAGTCGGCGAAAATGGAGCAGCACGTCGCCGGCGTCTTGGACGACAGCAACCAGACTTCGGCGAACCCTTTATGGCAAAGGTCAACCAGGGGCTTGAGCAAGCACATGGGACTGGTTATGGTGGGAGTGGGTTTAAATTCAATGAAGAGGAGGATAAAGTTAGGAGAGCTGTAAAGGAATATGGATTTGAGGAGGATAAATCTGATTCAGAAGATGAAGATGAAGGAATCAGAAAGGCTGGTGGTGAAATTTCTCACCAAGCAGTCATTGCTCAGGCTGCTGCTTTAGCTGCTGCCTCCAAAGTGAGTGCAGCATCGACACCAATCTTAGCTGCTCAGCTTATTCCCAATGGTGCATTATGTTGGGAATTTACTTAATCATGCACAGCGGAAATAAAACAATTTTCTATTCCCAAACGAGGATTTGCAATGTGTTTAGATAGAAATTGTGATGAGAATAATTCTTTTGATGAATTCCACAAACTCTTTTGCTTTTTCTTGAATTCCAATGATCACGATCTGCAATCCAAGCTGTCCAATTGTCCAGCCTCCAATGGTGATCCACACAGAGAATAAGAATGACGGCTAGGGTTTTCTTTTCTTGTGCTAGCAAGAATAATGAAATTCTCTACTGTTTTTCAAACCCTAACAGCTTATTAATATAAGTCCAGATGGGCTCGGCCCATCTATTAAACTTAACCCGGTCCAATATTTAATTAATCAAATTAATTAAATCTGGTCCATGAATTAATTAATCCAATTAATTAATTCGGGCCTATTAATAAACAACCCAATTAATTAATTATCCAACACTTGTCAATTAATTAATTGGTAAATCTCATTCTTCTGATTCTCTTTTGTGTGTGACCCATTAGGTTCCCGATCACGATGCCGAACGACGTGAATTATTATTTTGATCTAATCAAAATCGATAAATTAAAACGCCCCTTTTAATTTATCACTAATTCATTTTCGTTGTCCCAGATTGACATCTAGCAATGTATCAGGGCAATACATGTGACGGGAAATATCACGTAGCATGACAAAACCAAACTTGTTCGTTTACCGTGAAACTATAATCCTTTCGTCAATATGATCCGATCAATTATGAGATATGGATATGTGTCAATCTCAATTATCGATCATATCTTTTATCCCACTGTTAAGTCAATGTACGTCGAAAACTCTTTTCCGACTTATGAGTTCACCTTGGCCAAGGATTTCATTATTAACTTAACTGGATAAAATGTAGATCATAATCTCTTACTATCTAAGAGTGACGAATCCTCTATTGATCATTCACAACCTTCATATGATTCTTGACATACCCGAACGATGCTGTATTAGCGACCCTTGACAGAGCAACATCCAACACCACCAAAGTATGTCTGCCCTCATATAAGGTACTATGATGACCTCAAGTCAAAGGACCAATTCCACTACCGAACGTTAGAGATTAACCACTAACACTTAGATAGTTATCCATGTGGAATCTCTCAGCGGGTCTCCAATGTTTTGTTCTATAACAAAACATCCACGTGTTCATTCAAGTGTCACCACACTTTAGCTTGTGAGATCAGCTACTTACTTCACAAGTAAGAATGCCACACGCGATAGTCTATCCGTAATAACGATATCCGTATCTCGTTATTATTTCGACCACGGACGATTTAAGATTCAGTCATATGTAATTTGTATCTCACAATCACAACTCCTTATGATTAACAAATCACCAAAACTTGAATATACGGATTCTATTATTTAATTTATTAGAATATTAATTCAATTAAATAATAGATGTTGCCATACATGCATCAATTATATATATTTAAAGTGTTTATGTCCAAAATTGATTGGACCTAGGGCATAACACTTACAAATTACCTGTTTCCTTGCCTGGTGTCCTTGGTTTAACAATGCCAGGAATAACTGCAGCTGTCCCAGGGACTGGACTGCCAGTTGTAATTGTAATTACTCACGCTAATGTAGGCATCCAGTGTAAATGCTTCTCTATATATAGCTGTACAGATTATGGCATATTCGAGGAAAAATAGAGGAATCAATTCTTTTATAATGGACAATATTATGTGTAAATTAGAACTTGCTTCTGAATTTTATTCAATGCCAACACGAACACTTTGGTTGTACAAGTGAAGTATATAAATACAAAGATTTAGTTGTAAATCAAATAAAAACAGAAATCCCATAAAATCTGGTTCTAGTTTAACAATCTGATATGCTCTTCATTTGTTGCGTTGAAAGCTTGGTAACTGGAGAAGTTTGAAAGCAGAGAATTCCTAAATATTTGGAGTTTGTTGAACTACCATGCTGATTTGAATGCAGGTTTCATCTTTCAGAATCTATAGGCTTGATTGGATCATCATCTTGGTTTGAACTTGTTACAGTTAGATCTCCAAGATCACTCAACGTCTCTCCACTAACTGAGGCTAGATTGTGAGTCTTCCCCCAAGATTTTTGCAACAAGAGATCTTCTTGCAACCATGAATTTCAAACTTGGCCAATCTACAACACTCCCGAGCAATGGCAATCAATCCCATATCATCCAAGTCGCCCACGTTCCTAATTGACAGACACGAGCTTTTCACACAATGCAACTCCATCCAACCTCAACTCAACGGGTACTGAAATCTCATGAAACCGCCGCAACTTTAAGTGCCTCAACTTGGGGTATTTCAAATTGAGTACCTCTAATGCAGGACCACTATCCCTAACATTGTTACCAACATCCAAAGCAAGCTCTTCCAGCAACGGAAGCCCGGAAAACACTTCAATCAAAGTCTGCACACTAATCCTCGCATCTTCTTGCGTAAATCCCTCGTGTTCCGATCGCCCCTCAAATTCGACAAGGCCGAGGTATCAGCTAAATGAAGAATTGCCAGTTTAGGAAAATTCATTGCTATAGATACAAGACCATTATCTCCAATATACCTAATGTACCTTGGATCAAATATACGCGCAACTCGAAATTGTCAGCGGGGAAGGCGTGGCGGAGGTAGTGGGCTATTATCCTAAACAACAAGATCTCTGGCGACTTCACAGATGGTTTCGTCGGATCGCGAGAGAGAGAGAGAGAGAAGAGTGGTAGGGGAGGGGAGGGGAGGGGAGGGGAGGGGAGGGGGTGGTTTTGCGGGTTAGATTTCAAGGGGGTGATTTTGTTGGTGCGAGAGGGGGAGGAGTGCAAATTTGGGGGTTTGGGATTTTGGGGGTTGAAAAGGAGTATATCACGTCTTTTTTTTTTTTCCAAACTCTTTGCCGTCATTTTTGAATATTCAACCCATGCCATGTCAGCTTGAAGTAAAGGCTTCTGGACAATATGGGAGTACATCTAGCTTTTTCCTTATCATCTATATCCACACGACTTCTTTATGTGCCCACACACAAGAGTCCTATTAATGGATTGTCAGCTATTGCATCTTTTTGACTTTTTTAGTTAGAAAGTTGATTTGCTACAAAAGTAAACATCAGAGCCGGCGTAACCATGTAGGCGATTTAAGTCATTTTCGAGTTTTTCCCCTTTAAAAAAAAAAAAAAAAATACTCAATGTATAATACTCTTTCAATTTTTTTACCTAGCTCAAGAGACAATTTATTATTGCATACAAACTATTTACTATTTACAATTAACTTCTCAAAGAAATTCTCGAAAAGCAATGAAATCAAGATCGTCTTTATTTTTGTATGACCCAACCATCCACTCATTTTCTCAAAGAAATTCTCGAAAAGCAATGAAATCAAGATCGTCGTTATTTTTGTATGACCCAACCATCCACTCATTCGTACTTTAAATTTTATTTTAGTTACTTAAAGTGAGAACTCTTTTGGGTCCCGTTTGAGCCAAATTATTATAAAATGATAATGAAAAATATGGTTGTTATTGGGACCCACACAAGAGATATAAAATTTGAATTTAAATGTTGATGTGATGGATAACGGTCATATTTTTCATTTTAATGAGATAATAATGTAGATCAAACGGGGGCTATATATCAGTTTATGGAAACTATACATGATTATGGGTTTGTTTGGCTGGCTTCTACTTTTTGTAGAAGAGCTTTACGAGAAAGTTACCTTAGGCCGCNGTGGCAAATATTTATAGAAGCCAAACATTCCCCGTTGGTTTCAATTGTTAGTTATTTCTACAAAACGAATGATGCACGTAAATAGTGAGTTGAATAAATAAAAGTATGTGAATAAGTAACAAAATAAGCTAAATTTTGTAAAAGTTAAATATTTCTATCGAATCATAAATCATTTTCAAAATGAGAATATAAAAATATATGTGCATATCTTTATATCACATTATGGCCCTGTTTGGGAGTGATTTTGATTTTTCTACAGTA